AGTGTTTGGACTCGACGGTTGGCCAAGCGATCGTGTTGTGTGCGTTCGTTAAACTACTGAAGGTGACACTGATGCTGTCGGGCACGGTCGGCTCGTAGCTCGGCGTGCAGCCAATCAGAGCTCTGAGTTTATTATGAAACTGAGCTCTGATTGGCTGCAGCTTGACTTCCTGACGTTTCAGTATCAGGTAGATAACATCCCAAAAACCTTTCTGGGCTTTTCTCAGGGGTTTATACACTTTTACCAGCTGTGGTAAAAGTGATCGCACAGCTGGACAGGTGTGCAGCTGGACAGGTGTGCAGGTGGGTGCAGGTGTGCAGCTGGTGGGCAGCTCACAGGTCTTAGGTTGGTCGGGAGGACGTAGGCTCAGCATTAATGACGCTGTGATGAAAGACTACTTGTTTTGGGACAAATGTCGGCGGCGGCGTTTCCGGCGCTTCGTCTCGTTTATTTAAATGAGATCTTCAGGCTGATGAGTTACCAGGTAAAGCTCATGTAAGGTGATATTAAAAAGCAGACCTGCAGTTATGAAGGTGAATATTAGATTATGCACAGGTGGGTTCTGCCAGAAAACGTTGTTAGCTGCAGCGCTGCTGGGATGTTCATGGAGTGTGGTCCACCAGTACAGGCAGCTATGTCTCTGCACTGGTTTGCCTTCTTTTGACTGGTTCCATTCCATGTTACTGTCTTCAAAGCTTTAAAAATGGTTTCCCTCACTGATCTGTGCCTCGCTGCAGTTCAGCGGCGGCCTACAGGGACCAGAGATAAGATGGGATGTCCTGTATCGATCCTCGTATTGATCTCATTCTTTGTATTTAATCCAGTGAAATCAGCACCACGAGTAACTGACTGACTGGATGACGTTCAGTTACCTGAAGGAGGAGCTGCATCCGATATGACGCCTCGCCATGTCGTCACTCCCCTGTCATTTACAGCTGTTTGTGTGATTTGTCAGTGGGCTGTAAACGGCGCCGTATGATCGGTTTATCACATGAGCAGCAGGACGCTGAGAGTCCAACAGCAGAGAACATGACACAGCGCTGAGTGGACGGGACACACCTTTATTACCGGGTGTAACGTGGCTCACCTGTGCTTTTTACACCTAAGAGAACCAGAACGTCCCGACGTCTGACCTCACAACAAACATGACAGCAAAGATGTCTGATCCAGAGGACGGCGTCTCAGGTTCTGCGCTAACATACGATCAGGTTTAGTTTCTTCTGCACCTGTAACGGTGCTAATGGTCCAGTCCTGGGCTGTTCATGGATCTCACCACGATTTTTACTCTTTATTTCCTGCTGTAACAGAAAAATCTATCTGTGATAGTGTGGAGCATAGAAAGTGTCGTGTATATGTCCAACAGGTGAGTTACAGGTGAACATCCTCCACCGTGCAGGTGTTATGAAGGAGAATCATCTACACAGAGCAAACAGTTTGTGTATCAGGCTGTAAACATGTTTATTTCTGCTGTGAAGTTTGAACAGGAGTCTGTGGGACTGACTCACTGCTGCCTCTGCTGGCCGTCAGAGGAACTGCAGATGTTTGGACTTCACGTGTCTGAAGGTTGATGCTCAGTTTAAGCTGTAGCGGTGCTGCGTGGTATGAAGGTTTGTGGTTATCGTACTCGTGTAGAAGCGTCTCTGTTGGAATCTCTGAGGTGGACGACGCGCTCTGTCTGCCTCAGTAATCCTGAATTTCCCCTCGTGGACGTGATTTCCTGCCGCTCGGCGCCCGTCGCGTCGTCTCACGTCTGGTTGAACCTGAAAGTCTCCTGGCAGTTCTCAGGTTAGCAGAGCTGCAGGTTGCTGTGTGATCTCCAGGCTCTGAGTTTTTACTGAGCTGCTGTTACAGGAAGACCTCGTAGTTTCACTTCATGTCGTGAATAAAAGGCTGCAGTCACCATGTAATGTTTCGTGTCCGTCCCTCCACAGTACCCCCCCCACCCTGCTTCTTCTAATGTTTTCTACAAGTGCATGTTTTTATTGCACATTAGCTTCTGGTTCAGCTCAACGTGTCTTAAACATGTTTTTATAAGCATGAGGATTAAAAAGGCCAAACAGACCTGGGATCAGCGTGCAGAAGCATGAATCAGTTTATTGATCCCTAAATAATCACAGATATGGGTCAGATTGCAGCTCAGGCTGCAGTCTGAGGTCTGACTGGCCCACTGCCCCAAATCTGAGAGCTGTACTTTGTGTTCGGAGAATTTTTATCCTCTTTAAACGGCGTCCGCGCTGCTGTTACTGCTGTGTGAGCGCCCGGCAACTCCAACCAAACCGTCAGCCAATCAGAGCCTCTGACAGTAACGAGTAAATGTAATTAAGTTATTCTCAGCGGTCTACCCTACACCTTTTTATCATCGCTCTGATGTTTTATACCAGCACCACCTTCAAAGTGTCGATGCAGTTTACTGTGTGATGTGCGCTTTTATTTTGAAAGGCGCCGGCCTTTATTATATCACGAATAATGTAAACGTGCTCTGTAACTGATCAGTGTGTTCATGTTGTCCAGCTAAATGCTCACACTAATAAAGTTTCTTTGAAGTGGCGACAGTGTTCCTGCGGCTCGTTAGCGATTGGTCGATGCTCGTGTTTCCTGTTTTTAACTCTGGATGTGTAAACCCGGCACGTTTACCAGATCCGTGTCTATCTCACAGGCTGCAGTGAAGTCAGTCTGTCCGTGTGGAGCTCTTTATAGCCCAGAAAACATGGAGTCACATACGGCGCCGTGCGAGCCGGCTTCAAACAAAGATGTCACACGGCGCGGGAACGAAGTTAAACATGTTTAAAATCTGCATTTCTAATCGAAACGACCGTCACAGGAGGAGGTTCGTGTTTCGGCGTCTCTTCCAACACCACAGTGACAGATTGTGAGGATGATGTCATCCTCGGATAAATCCCAGAGGCGTTAAACGGTGATTAATGGAGCGACGGCTGGAGCGTGAGCCGGGTTCACTCAGATGTGTTGAGATTTGAATGCAAGCAGGAAAAACTTTATTGAACACACTCAGAAGCACAAACTTGATAAAATGTTGATAAATAAAGAAGCTTCAGGCCTCCTGACTCTGTGCTCTCTGTGCAGCTGCTCAGTGAGAAGATCAGCGGGGCGGAGGGGACGAAGCTGGAGGAAGACTTCTTAGAGATGGAGCGGGTGAGAAACACTTTGGGACGGTTCACTCGCTTTATTTAACTCGCCGTTAAAACGTTTGTTAGCTTTAGGAATTGTACGATTTAATCCTGACATTTAACTGCAACTTTTTTTCAGAAAATCGAGGTGACCAGCAAGTCGGTGCTCGACCTCCTGTCCAAAACAACAGAGTACCTCCAGCCTAACCCAGGTGCCAAACACCTCCATGTGCTGTTTGCTGTTCTTTGAGCTTTCTGTGCTACAAACTCAAACCTGCGTGCGTTTGATTCTTTGTTTTCCTCGCCAGCGTCTCGAGCCAAACTGAACATGCTGAACACGATGTCCAAGATCCGAGGGCAGGTGAAGACCACCGGCTACCCCCAGACCGAAGGCCTGCTGGGCGACTGCATGCTGCGCTACGGCCAGGAACTGGGAGAGGACTCTTTGTTTGGTACCAGCTCTCAGACGCCTCAGGTCCTCTGACAGCTGCACAGAGGCCGTTACAGGCGGAGCGCAAACCCTGCACTGGCGCCGAGGCGTGAGCACGGTTATCTTTGTCCTGCAGACTCTGTGCAGCAGAGTTACAGCTTTAGTCCTTTAATGCAACATTTAACACAGACGCAGCTGCTTAGTACAAGACGCATCCAAAGCGTCAGTGTTACAGTGATGCAGCAGTTTTCAAAGATCGCTCCGTAATAAAATCTGCACAGTGCACCACAAGTTTAAAAGCATCAATGTTGTGAATGCTGCTTTGCCTCCTTCATGAACGCAGCTGCTCACGTGAGGTGTCAGCGTCACGCCGGACCTCGGTCTGCTGAACGCTGCATGTCAGACAAAAACCTGCAGGACTGTGTACAGGTTACAGTGCACAGTCATGCAATGCAGAAGTGTCGTTTGTCATAATGGCCAGCAGGGGGCGTGGCCTCAGGTATGATTGCAGCCTGACGTTCATTTTAAAATTCTGGCCGTCAGAGTCGGAAAGCAGCCGAGTCTGAAACCGAGTCACCGGCCAATGAGAGTGCAGTGTCCCTCCTTTAGCTCGTCACTCGTTGTGAGGTCAGGATGCAAAGAACTACAGACTTCCTTCCTCGTCGTATCTCTGTGTTTGCCACCTCTGTGCTGCTGTTGGTCGGCTGCGTGTATCAGTGTTGAACGAAGAGTTTGTACCTTGTAGATGATTTTATTGAGATCGCTGTGATAACAGCTCACTGGAGGCGGCGTCTCTCTCTGTCCTGCAGGATGCGCTCTGGTGGACGTGGGTGAGGCCATGAGGCAGATGGCAGACGTGAAGGACTCTCTGGACATAAACGTCAAACAAAACTTTATTGACCCCCTGCAGAATCTACAGGACAAGGACCTCAAAGAGATCACGGTAAAGACAGACGAGAGGCTGCGAGGTCCTCTGACCGCTGGCGCCGTTTGCAGCGCAGCAGAAACACGCGCTGAAATTTCTGCAGCGAATTTGCAAACTGTTTAAAATCTGCCTGTCGGGGCTGCACGCACAGATCATCCTGCCTGCACCTTACTGTGCGAGATGCTGCGCAGCAAACCGAGCTAATGCTAGCTGCTAACCCTCTGACCTGCACCTGGACTCTCAGGTGTGTGGGCGGCACGATTGAGTCACATCACATATTTGGGCCGTTCTTCTGATCGTGAATCTCACTCCTACACTCGAGTTCTTAGACGTTATCCTCAGTACACGCGCCTCTGATCCGCTGATCGTGGCGTTTAGCCTCGCGTGACCTCCACCTGCACACACCTGATCACTTCGCCTCCACATGAGCCACGAATCAGTTCAGTAAATCTTCACGATGTTTTAAATGTTTTTGTAAAGAAACACACGGCGTGACGTGTGCGTGTCGACGTGTTTCTGCCGCTGGTGTTCGCAGCATCACCTGAAGAAGCTGGAGGGCCGCAGGTTAGACTTTGACTACAAGAAGAAGCGTCAGGGGAAGATCGCCGACGAGGAGATCCGGCAGGCGGTGGAGAAGTTCGACGAAAGCAAAGAGCTGGCTGAGAGGAGCATGTTCAACTTCCTGGAGAATGACGTAAGAGACGCGAAGACGCGGGTGACGGGGAGGGTTTCACACGCGAGACGTTATCGTTTAACGTGTGTGTGTGCGTGTGTGTGTGTGTGTGTGTGTGTGTGTGGCCACCAGGTGGAGCAGGTGAACCAGCTGTCAGCACTGATCAGGGCGGCGTTGGAGTACCACCAGCAGTCGTGTGAGATCCTGGAGGAGCTCAGCGGGAAACTGCAGAAGAGGTAAGAGAGCCGCTTCTCCTGCGATCGGGGTTCGTGTCTGCGCGGCGTTCGCGGCGCTCGTGAACAGCAGGTCTGTCAGCAGCGTTTTTAAAGCGCGAGCTCACTGAGTTTGTCACTGAAGGTGTTTTTCACACTTCAGGTTCTGTTCTTGATGAAAGCGTCTGGATTTGGCCGCCGTTCGCTGTCGGCGGCTTGTGCAGACATCAGAAGTTTTATCCTCCTGAAATGTCAGAGGCTGTTACTCCATGTTTCCATCAGTAACGGCTAAAAACACTTTGGTCCTCGTTAAACAGCCGCTCAGTAAGGTAGAAATGGCGAGTAGGAGCGCTTATAAACCCTGAAACATGTCGAGATCTGAGGTTTAAAATGTGGGCCGTTTCCCCTCGGAGCGTCCGGTCTGCCGCCGGAGAGGAAATGTCGGCTTTGATTCGAGTCGCCTCCCCCTCTCTCTCCTCCTCCAGGATATCCTCGGCCAGCAGCCGGCCCAAGAGAGACTTCAAACCAAAGTCGATCAGGAGCAGCATCGAGGCGCTCGACAGCAACGGCCTGTCCTACAGCTCCTCGCTCAAGTCCACGGGTACGCCGTCCGTCTGTGCGTCCGTCTGTGCGTCTGTTTGTTTCCATCGTTGCTTTGAGTCACACTGTTCTTCTTCTGCTGTTACAGATACGCAGATCAGCCGCACACCGAACGGGAAAAGTAGGTATTCCTTTATGTAGCCCCTCCCCCCCCGAACACACACACATCATGTTCATCGTGCGGGAATGTTTCCATTTTTACAAACTGACAGTGAACGTCTCACCTGTTTCCTGCTGCACACAGATGAAACTCGAGCTGTGACGTTTTAGTCGTCAGCTGTAGTTTGAGTGACGCCTCTGAGCGTGTCGCGCTGACAGGTCAGAGTTCACAGGAAGTTTCATTCATTTATGTTTAATTTAAAAACTGAGCTCAGCTTAAACTCTGACACAGTGACGAGCTCAGACAGATGAAGTGAGGACTGAGTGAAGCTTTTCCTGCAGCTGTTGTTGAAACGCCGCTGCCCTCTGCTGGTGGCAGTCTGACACCACAGCGCTGCTCTGCTCCTCTCATTGTTTTTGTTTTGTGCTCATCGCATCTCCATCTGTCTCCACATGTCATCCAGCTGATCACATACCATCTGTGCAGCCGTCATGGCCCGACCCCCCCGCTACCAACGGCAACGCTCACCGTGAGTAACGCACACCGACGCCGTCACACATCTGCCCGCATCTGTGAGCGGCAGCTGATATCCAGCAAAACTACAGTAACTTTTCAGCTGATCAAACTTGAGATGTGGCTGAATGTTGTTATTTTTCAACATTCAACGTTCACCTCGTGATCTTCGTCTGTCGGTGTTGTCACGGAGCGAACGTCACCCACTGGATGTCTTCTTACCCTCTTAGTCTGGATCAATAACCTGCTCTTTAACCCTGTTTCAGACAAAGCTGGGATTTAAAATTTTAAAATATGAAACTATTTGCAAATAATGAATTTTAAATCTTATTTTAAAGACAAAAGTCCAAAAATGGCAGATCAGAGGCTGAAACTGAGGTTTGATTGTTTCTGTTCATCCATCAGCCCCAGAATCAGCTCTCGACCCATGCTGGGGGGGTCTGTGTGCTGCTGGGGGGGTTTGTGTGCTGCTGGGGGGGTCTGTGTCCTCTACTTGGGGGGTCTGTGAACAAGACCCCCCCAGTAGAGGACACACATGAGTCCCAGCAACCTCGCTCAGACCTGGTGTACAGGGCCTGGGCTGAGGGAGGGGCTGCCAGGTACTAGGAAGGAAGGAATTAGGAAGAATGAATAAAGGAGGGAATGAAATAGGAAGAATAGAGGAAGGAAGGAATCAGGAAGAATGAAAGGAGGAAAGAGGCTCGCGGTAAATCCGAGCGTTGTGCTTTCATCTCGCCGCTGCGTCTCGAGCCCCGTCCGTCCATCAGAGGTGTTTAAATAAAGTTTTTGGTCTGTCTGCAGAGCCGGAGGTTTTGGATCAGCCCTGCTGTCGCTCCCTCTACGACTTTGAGCCGGAGAACGAGGGCGAGCTGGGCTTCAAAGAAGGCGACATCATCATCCTCACCAACCAGATCGACGAGAACTGGTACGAGGGCATGATCAGCGGCGAGTCCGGCTTCTTCCCCATCAACTACGTGGAGGTCATCGTCCCCCTGCCTCAGTGAAGAGCGCCACCGCCGGGCCGCCGCAGACTCTCCTCGGCCCGACTCGGGCGCGAGCGCGCGGCGGGCTCTGTTTCGGACCACAGACGCGGAGGTTTCGTCCCGGCCGACTTCAGATTAAACGTCTCCTTTACTTTTGTCGTCTGTTGATATTTAAGAACCTGAACGGAAACCCGAGCCTTTAACGGGGCACTCGGCCTCGCCGCTGCGCCCACCGTCCAGCGCCGCCGCCTGTGCCGGGTATCCCGACGCCTCCGTCTGACCACTACGAACATTCCCTCACTTTATGGTCACGCTAGTT